ACACACACACACACACACACACACACACACACACACACACACACACTCGAAGCTCGAATTGCAATGAAATGTTTAACATGTGGAACAAAAACTGTTGAAAGAGCTGCTTATTCAGGATTTTAAAGAAATGCCTAATAAGCAAATACGGTTTTGCTACAAAACCAGTGTCACCAGGTCCCCAAAGAGGAAAACAGCATAGCTTGCTAGCAAAATTTCCTCCAGATCCTGCCGGTAGGTAAAAAAACAAAAAAGCATTTTATTTGCCATGCTGTATAAAACAAGAAGTCTTTTATTTTTAAGGAAATAGAACAGATTCTTTTCCACTCTATTTCTTTAGCTACAAAGAAACCATACCCACCCCCACCCGTAGATCCTGGACATAAGCCAACATTTTTATAAAATGCTGAGACTGATTTTGAATATGTAATATTTATAGTTTTCTTCTTCTTATCTCTCCAAAAGTCTTTAATTGCCTATTGCCTCACTGAATATGCTGTTGTTAATTTTAACATGTGCAAAAATGAGTTGATATTTTCTGGGGTTGCTAGTTTTCCAGCACCTCAATCTTCTGTAAGGACTGGCTGAAAATAATCAGGTTAGCAACATATGGAAGTTCCCCAGAATTTTTTTAAAAGAGAAAATATGTTCAAACACCTCAGCTGAGGTACTAGGTTTCACAACTGGATCTTTTGTTTCTAGCTCTCATTCTATCTCCTGCCCCAGAGCATAACTGATTTTTAGCTTAGTGTGTGGAATGTACCCTGCCTTCCTATATCCTATATACTTTAAAGTCTCTGAGTTGAGTTCTCCAGATGGTCGGTCATACCTGAACCATAGCGAGAGTCCTCTTCTCTTTGGAGTACATCTCTCTCTCACAACTACTCCAGAAATAAATGTGGCTCTAACGAAAACAGTAGCTCCTGGTCTCATACCAATAGTGGAACCATCTTCCCCACCCCCACATCACTGCTCTATGAGTTCTGGTTAGCATTGACAGCGTCAGAAAATTAGAATGGAGTGTCCTTAGGCCAATTCCTCCTTTACCATGGGGGTCGAGAATTAGAGGGATGATCACGGTGAGTTATAAGGCACCAATTCAATATACGGTCATCTATGAAGCAGAGTCCTTAGAGTGGGGTGGGAGGAGGTTGACGCAAACACCTAGGCATTGAATGCTCTTCATGTCTGTTGAGATATTCCCCATTAATGACGTTTGAAAGCTAGACATTCATTTAAAAATACTCACAAATTATTATCATGTAGGCTAAATATACACGTTATGGAATCAACTCTGACCACATAGAACTAAGTCGTCTGCCTCCTCTGTCGGGAATAATAAATGACAGTGACAACGACAGTAATCCATATTAGGCTCCCAGGAGATGAGTAAATAGTATTCTATTCCCTTTACAGGGAAAGGTGGTGAATGTGGTCAGGTCCCCTACTGGTACTTGTAAGCCAGATGCCAGGGCAGTTTCCAAACCCCCTATGGGGTTCTCTGTCCACCCTCAGCCTAAAAGCTACGTATTGGTTTATTTTGTGATGTTCCAAGACACTCAATCAGTAAATGTGGTACATTTACCAGACCTGCTCGGGTTAAACAAATACGAACTATAGTTGAAAATATTCAAAGCAATGAGCTTGTTTAGGCAGACATTATCAACTAGTAAATCCTGTTTTATACTTTCAGAAAACCATGATCATGCCTGAATTACTTAAGCTTTGTCATGATTACTAGTGGCAAGGGTATGCATTCACTTATGATTTTAAAAAATTGCGTGCTTCTCATCAGCCTCCTCGGGGCATGTGCACAAACATTAATTTAAAAGGCAAATCCCTTTTCCACAGTGAACATTTTAGCCTGTTTCTGCCACTTTGACGAGTCAAATACGAGGAACCCGAAATAATCTGGCAGGCACAGGCTGGAAAAGGACAGAGCTAGAAGTGAAGGGTGAGCCTTTCACTTTGATTAACGTGCTTACTTGCTCGCGGTCTCGTTGTTCCGCAGGCTGAGCTAATTTTCTTTGCAGTCCTGTGGGTTAAAGTTAAATTGCACGGCTAATGCAATGTACATAATTCAAGTATGAACAAAGCTTGACTCTCTATGTTTTTAAAAAAACATAAAGTCAGGGCACTGAGTCCCAGAGGAATACTTGGTTTATAAACATTTGGATCAGTTTGCATGCTCCTTTATGCTGTTCACCACATTAAACATTACAGCTGGGTTCTTTTTACACCTAATAGAGATAGTCAACATTTGTGGGTACATTGTTGTCAGGTTAGGTTATTCTAATTGAAATAAAAAATAAAAGTGTTTACCAATTACACTTTTGCTTAAATTCTTAGTATTTAAAAAGTTTAAGTTTTTTAATGAGGTTGGTTATTAAATCTGTCTATAGTGTATTTAGTCCTGGAAACAACATGGTGACTTAATTTACCAATGACCAAAAATGCCTTTGGATTTTTGAGAAAGTTCAATGCTACTTTGAACATCTACATCTTGCCTAGAGACCTGGGCAGGAACTTCTGCCTTCCGCATTGATCAGAGCTAAAATGTCTATACTAGCTACCCTTATGGAGAACCTACTACATACTCAATATTTTAGCTACATGTCCAATGTTTATTTCATTCTAACCCAATAATTCTGCAAGCTGAGTATCATCAATTTTAGGTGAGGAACTAATAGAGATTATACACAGTAAATAGCAGACTTAGCGTCCAAACCTAAGTTTGATTGATGGCAAAGTCTACGTCTTTCCACCAATCCTAAGAGGATAAAACTTCCTCCTACGTCCACACTCCATCCCTGATGTCAGTAATCTTCTTATTGTGCAGACACCTGGTAGAGGACCCTATCTCCCTGGAGCCCTGACTACCTCTGTTTATATAAATCAGCCTCTACCCTCCAGGCCCTAGGAATTGTGGGAACCTAGGATGCCACCAGCTGGAGACAGGCTGGGCCCAGCAGGTGGAAAAGACACAATGAAAGAGAAGGAATCAGCCGGACCATATTGGAAAGTTAAATGTACAAAGCAGGGTAAATATTTTAGTGGGAGATTTGCCATAATTAAAAAAATATTTTATGAGGTAAAATAAATGAAAATAAATGACACAAATATATTTCAGATGGAATGTTTATTTTTAATAAATACATTTTCAAATGGAAATGTATTTATTAAAAACCTAGTGGAGTCTAGTTTTTTCCCTCTCACAGGTGACCAAACAGGCTGAGAGAGATCCAGTGATTTGCCCAAGATCACACACTTCATGAGTTTATTATTAATGCAGTCTTTCACTATATTAAAAATTACAGCTAGTTTCCTTTTACACCCAATGTATTCAGCATTTGTGAATAACTTTTTTATCAGGTTGTTAGACTATTCTGCTCTAAATGATCAGTTGAAGAAAAATCAATGTAACAATCAGACTAGCCTGTTCTCTTTTGTTTGTTTGGTTTTGGGTTTTCTTGAGACAGAGTCTTACAATGTTGCCCAGGTGGGACTTGAACTCTCAGTTGATTCTCCTGCCTCAGCCTCCTGAGTAGCTAGGATTATAGGCTCATAACACTGTGTCCAGCTGAAACTGACCTATTTTCAACTCACAAATAGTATTTTTCTCCTGAACAGATAACCTAAGTAGCTATTATGATTTTTTTCCAACATATTTTTAAATGGACTTTTAAAAAGCCTAATTTTGAAGAGATTTTCCTCAACCAAATTTACTGTTTTATTTTATCATTAAAATGATTTAAACACTAAAACCATTTTAATGACCCTGTTTGTTAACATCTGTTCATTTTGCCTCTGTCTCGGGTCCCTTCCAGTTCTGAAAGTTTGTGATTCTAAAAAAATCAAGCCCAGCTTGTTTTCTAGGTCAAGTAGGCCAAGAGCTGGACTCCAACTCTCCTGCCTTCTGGTGTACGTGGCCAGCTGACTATCCTGTTTCATTTGCAGTAATTGTATATGCCAACAAGATGGCTCTCAAAGGGGGCTTTCTAATCCACCAGCTCCACCCCACCTGGGAATAGGAGAAGAAGACTATCTTGCTCAATGCTCATAGGCAGTAGAATGAAGGGTTGGGTGAATGACATGCTTGAGGATTCTGAACTCCAGGAAACATTCTCCAGTTCTTAGACACGAGCGTCCTCACGTCCATCCATTAGCATCTGCATAGGATGTGAGAAAGGAGTACACACCTGTTGGCAAGGATTGAGCAGCAAACCTTGTGGACCAAACTGGGGTTACCCTCCAGGAAAGAGCTGGAAGGAAAAGGGAACTGTAAACCATGTGTTTTTTAATAAAGGAAAAGTGGCAAATGACATAGACTGTAAGGCAGACTGTGGCGGACAACATCTCAACCCATCCTAACCCAACTCAAATCCTCCTGTGGGAGCATCCTCAACAGGTGTCACCACCATTATGGAAATCACTACCTCAGCTTTAGCAACAGAATAGTTGCTGCTTTCATTTCTCAGTGCATTTGAAACATGGCATGAATAATGACCTTGAGTGCCCATTCCTACTACCCAATCACATGTTCATTTTCTGCCATGACTGCTTGTCACGCACCAGATGGAGAGCAAGTGAAACAATAAGGCCTTCTAGCTTCTGAATTGGTAAAACACATTCAGCAAGGAAGTAGAGTTTCATATTTTTGGGGAGACTGGCAACTAGGCTGAAAAGGGAAGGTGGGGACACAAATGAAGGTAAAAAAGTAAGAATTCTTACAGATCCATAAAAATCCACCTCA